TTTACATGCTGTCCCATTCAAAGTCTGTATGTTCATTTCTAGAACACCTATACATGCTGTCCCATTCAATGACTATGTATGTTGATTTCTAGAACATCTTTACATGCTGTCCCATTCAATTACTGTGTGTTAATTTCTAGAACACCTTTACATGCTGTCCCATTCAATGACCATGTATGTTCATTTCTAGAACACCTATACATGCTGTCCCATTCAAAGTCTGTATGTTCATTTCTAGAACACCTATACATGCTGTCCCATTCAATGACTATGTATGTTGATTTCTAGAACATCTTTACATGCTGTCCCATTCAATTACTGTGTGTTGATTTCTAGAACACCTTTAAATGCTGTCCCATTCAATTACTGTGTGTTGATTTCTAGAACACCTTTACATGCTGTCCCATTCAAAGACTATGTTCATTTCTAGAACACCTATACATACTGTCCCATTCAATTACTGTGTGTTGATTTCTAGAACATCTTTACATGCTGTCCCATTCAATGACTGTGTGTTGATTTCTAGAACACCTTTAAATGCTGTTTCATTCAATGACCATGTATGTTCATTTCTAGAACACCTTTAAATGCTGTTTCATTCAATGACTGTGTGTTGATTTCTAGAACACCTTTACATGCTGTCTCATTCAATGACCATGTATGTTGATTTCTAGAACACCTTTAAATGCTGTTTCATTCAATGACTGTGTGTTGATTTCTAGAACACCTATACATGCTGTCCCATTCAATGACCATGTATGTTGATTTCTAGAACACCTTTAAATGCTGTTTCATTCAATGACCGTGTATGTTGATTTCTAGAACACCTTTAAATGCTGTTTCATTCAATTACTGTGTGTTGATTTCTAGAACACCTTTACATGCTGTTTCATTCAATTACTGTGTGTTGATTTCTAAAACACCTATACATGCTGTCCCATTCAATGACCATGTATGTTGATTTCTAGAACACCTTTACATGCTGTTTCATTCAATGACCATGTATGTTGATTTCTAGAACACCTTTAAATGCTGTTTCATTCAATTACTGTGTGTTGATTTCTAGAACACCTTTACATGCTGTTTCATTCAATTACTGTGTGTTGATTTCTCGAACACCTTTACATGCTGTCTCATTCAATGAACATGTATGTTCATTTCTAGAACATCTTTACATGCTGTCCCTTTCAATGAACATGTATGTTGATTTCTAGAACACCTTTACATGCTGTTTCATTCAATGACTTTGTTGATTTCTAGAACACCTATACATGCTGTCCCATTCACTGACTATGTATGTTCATTTCTTGAACACCTTTACATGCTGTCTCACTCTGTATGTGCATTTCTGGAACATCTATACATGCTGTCCAATTCACTAACTTGTTTGTTGATTTTCAGAACACCCATAAATGCTGTCTCATTCACTGACTATATATGTTGATTTCTAGAACACCTTTTCATTCAATGACTGTATGTTTATTTTTTAGAACATGCTGTAGCATTCAATGACCAAGTGTGTTTATATCTACAACAATTTTACACGCTGTCTCATTCAGTGACCATGTATGTTGATTTCCAGAACATTTTTACATGCTTTCTCAGTCAATGACCATGTACTATGTCGATTTCTAGAACCACCTATACATGCTGTCTCATTCACTGACTATGTGTGTATGTTTGTTTGTTTGTTTCTAGAACACCTTTACATGCTGTCTAATTCTCTGACCATGTATGCATTTCTCGAACACCTTTACATGCTTTCTTATTCTCTGACCATGTGTGTTCATTTCTAGAACACCTTTACATGATGTCTCATTCATTGAACATGTATGTTCATTTCTAGAACACCTTCACATGCTGTCTCACTCAACGATTATAATATTATATATGTTGATTTCTAGGACACGTATACATGTTTTCTCATTCAATGATCATTTATGTTCATTTCTAGATGTAAAGCGGCTTTAAATGCTGTCTCATTCAATGACCATGTATGTTCATTTCTAGAACACCTTTACATGCTTTCTCAGTCAGTGACCATGTATGTTCATTTCTAGAACACCTTTACATGATGTCTCATTCACTTATTATAATATTATATATGTTCATTTCTGGAACACCTTTACATGATTTCTCATTCAATGACCGAGTATGTTCATTTCTAGAACACCTTTACATGCTGTTTCATTCAATGACTGTGTGTTGATTTCTAGAACACCTTTACATGCTGTCTCATTCAATGACCATGTATGTTCATTTCTAGAACACCTTTACATGCTTTCTCAGTCAGTGACCATGTATGTTCATTTCTAGAACACCTTTACATGATGTCTCATTCACTTATTATAATATTATATATGTTCATTTCTGGAACACCTTTACATGA